CATTGATTTTTGTTGCAAAAAGACGATAAAAGGGCTTCCATTTGAGTAGGAGAAGGTAATCTTTAACTTTGAAAACAATTTCATGTTCTTAACTGCTGCTATATGAAAATGCTCTGGCAACACTTTCGGTACTGAATTGCGTATGGAAAATGAAACATTCGAGGAAGATGTTTTTAGAGCAGGTCGTACAAGCCCTTACGTAATCTCGTATTCAGCTATCCGTATTATTAAAACAAGATATCCATCTATGGCGCCACAATATGTATTTGCGCTCAGTTTGCATTATCTCACCCCTTGTCCAGTCTCTACGCGGTATGAGTATTTCCTGTTTATAATCATCAGAAACTTGACAACCTCATTTTTACATATTTGATCAATATAAGAGTTATCTGAGCAAATTAGCGGAAAAAGATACGGCTAAACGTATTTTGTAATACTGTATATTTACTGAAACTTGCCATTTTTCTTCATTTTACTTCACAAGACGCCAGCTGCTTTCAAAGGCAGGTATCACATTCGTCCTAATTATTCACCACTTTTGATTAAAGAGAGTATTTCTCAAGATCCTATGGATAAAAAAATTGTTTTGCTATCTTAGACATTAATTGTAACAGGAACTAGGATAAAGACGCCAACTCCTTTCAAATGCAGATATCACATTCATCCAGATTATTCACCACTTTTGATAAAGGAAAGTACGTCTTATGATGCTACAGATAAAAAGATTGAATTTTGTGTTTTCTAACTTAGAAATTGTAACAGGAATTAGGTTAAGGAGTAAGTTCCAATGATAAATGGTTCAGGCTTTTTTGTACATTTTGATGAAAGACCAGAACTTTGCCTGTTTCCAAAACACTCCATCTTTTCCTAACACAATAAAAGATTCGCATATTTTCTGTACGCTTGAACTCAATTTCCTCATATAGGGAAAGAGAGGAAAACATTTTTGGCGGAGAGAGCTTGCTTTATTTTTATTTGGGACGTTAAAGTAGCTTTTCTGTCAGGTCAATTTAAAACATGCAGGTGATCTCTAACTTCGATATTCCTTAATAGGATTGAAAACTGTTTTAAGTTGAAACATATCTGCATGTAAGAACCAGAATATTTAAAATTCACTTCTGGATTCAAATCTATTCTATCGCCGGTACTAAAGGAAATTCTGCCCAACGTGTGGGCTTGTTACATTCTCGATTATTACTTCGCTCTTGATTTTCCGCCTTGAAAACCAAGGTATTTTTTATACGATGAATATAAATACCTATAAATCATTTTTTGTCACCCACGTTATAAATTGTGGAACTATTCTCTAAGACCTTTAACAATAAACTAGAACATGCTAGTTCAGTTATTACCTATGCTTCTCTATATTAGAGTTTGTAAAGTCCTTACAGACATTATGGGTAGAACATAACAAACCTGTTCTTCTACAAATCAAGATATCGCTTTGCTGCTATACTGTCATTTCAGTTTTACCAATCTCTTTCCAAATAGTTTACTAATAGGTTTGAGCACAAATGACCGGAGATCAAATTTGTTTACCAACTTAAGGAAGTCAATTGAATGTTCTCCAAAACCTCTAATGCCTTAGGGTCCTCCTAAATGGAAACTTGCATTTCATATAGCTCTAATGATATCTCTTCTTTCTTGATTTAGATCAAAAGCAGACGAAGTCTTTTGAAAAGTTAGACATGCTCTCAGCTAGGGTAGACCGGATGGCACGGCATGGCGAGGTCCACCAGAACCAAGGCTTCAAACGTGTGTATTTATAATTTGTCAGGTATTTCTACCCAAATACTTGACAAATTTTTATCTCGTTTGTCCCTTAAATCGCAAGATAAATCGGATAAAAGTTCTATAATCAGACAAGTACACAGTACGATCGTGGTCGTTATTAATTTACTGACGAAGTAAACGAAAATCCCTAATAGAAAATCTAATGAAGATACAGCGGAGCACATGAAACTCACTAATGGAAGATCTAATGAAATCTCTAAGTTCTTCTAACATACGATTAGAGCATTACTTTTCGTATTGTTATCATAATTAAATGTATTTTTATCAAAAGAGGAAATTAAAGGTTAATATTTGTCTACTTCATTCGATTCGTTCATAAACAGGACACTGTGAACCCACTTGAAAAACTAGTTTCATTTTGATTGGATAGCATTATCTGGAGAGTTATATCTTATTGGCTAATAACGTTTCGTATTCATTTTAATTTTTTTATTTTTATTTCAATTTTTTTTTCTTTTTTGGGGGGGGAGATGGGGAGGCTGTTGAGCGGCTGTTGAGCTGTTGTTAAAAGGGCAGTACGCTCATACCATATGCTAATTATCTCTACTCTTAAACATTTTATTCCCCGAAGTGGGGATAAAAAATGGTGGATATTTCCTCGACTAATATAAATTAAAAACGGGCTTATGGAATCTTGCTCTAGGGAATACTTTGAAATTCCAGTTCGCAACATTTGCATTCGTCTAAAAGAGCTAAAATTCAATTATGGAAGCCACACTTTCAAAAGCAAACGAGAAAATTAAAAAGGAGCAAGGCACAGGTAAACAGAAATTTTTTCATCACAATCCGACATAATCCCTAGGCTACTCCTTGAAATCTCACTGTCAAATTTCTGGATGTACTTTTGACTCGCGGAGATGAAAATTATGGTTTCCTTTCTCCTTTTTTCCTTTCTCCCACAACATTCATTCACTACATCGGATATAATATGCATTTGATTATTTTTGGGTGGAAAAATTTCAACGTCCAAATTTTTTTCAAAACTTAACGAAGACCGATAAAATATCTGATCATTTGGAGAAAACCATATCTAGTGATAAGAAATAAATTAAAATACAACTCGTGAACTTTACTTTAGAACTGAATAAAGGTGCTCCTTCCCTCGGAAATTTTGTATTATAGTAAACTATTAATCGTGTAGGTTGAAAGTAGGTTTTTCTGAAAATCAAAATTTAAGCTTCGCCGACCGGAAGGAACACCGCAAAAGCTTGCGCCAATTACTGCGGGCCCAGTAAACCCACCCATCCCACCCCAGGGGAGGACATCCATCACACAGTAATCTCGTGCGTGGGAAATTAACGTCTCCTGCCCCTACCCTGCAGGAGACGTGACCTCCATTTATTCGTCCCTATCCGAGAAGACTAGAATATCTAACCATTTCTTGATGTTATAAAAAGGTAGCAAATTCTTCTCAATTATTTTAAGACCCTGAGTGTTGGTCCGGCCGGGGCTCAAACCCTGGACCTCCCGCACAACATTCCAGCGCTCTATCCATTGAGCCAACCGGGAGGCGGTTAAAAATGTCCTTTAGAGGAGAATAATTGCAATACGATCTACGTTACAGAGATAGTTTCATTTTCTATTAGATTTTATGAAATCAGTTATAGGTGTGGAATCATATCCTTAGAGTAGAAGGATGTAGCGATTGAATCAAGATACCTACCAAGTTATTCTTCCCAATCATGTATAAATTACCTTCTTAATTGAAACAGATTTCTTTTAACAAAAAAGAAAACGTCGTTCCTGATCGAAATTCAATTTACGAACTTGCTCTTAATCGCGTGATGATCATTTCATGTTCAAAACTTAAAAGCAGATCATTTGCCCAGCGACTTACATGCAATTAAAAAATTCAGATGCATGGCGACTCAGCGAAAAAGGCCTCGATTTCCTTCAATTTCAAGGAAATGTCAATATTTGATATAAATCAGAAACACGACAAGATGACCTAGTATGAATCTGACCAATCGCTGAGAAGAAACTTAATATACTTTCGAGCTCAAAATTAAACAGATAAAAGCATAGTCATTTGAGGAAGCAGACAAGGAAATGCAGCGAGTGTCTTCTTTAGAACATTAGCTGTTGAGGTCGACGGGATCAGCTTAAATTGGACAGAAAACAAATGTTTAAATGCTTTATAGAAGACAAATAGATAAATTGAAATACCATTTTTCCTAAATCGTATTGTAAATATCCTCTGCGAGTACTGTTCTTTTCCTTCGTCTTTAATGATATTTTGTCAGAATTGATATCGCTTGTGTGGAAATTATTTAAATCATAGTCTATGTGGTTTTACTTTTCAGAGCGACATACCTGATGCTATCAGTCAATTAGTTTTAAATAACTATGCATGTATTCAAAGTGTTTTACGATGCATTAAAATTACAACTTCCCGTTTCGTTAATTAAATCTTTTGGCTGACATTTTCTTGGGAGACACATTTTTTAAGACTTTAATAACCCACACAACACCATGAAGGAGATTTGATGGTAAAAGAAATTGGAAACAACCGATTATTAGTTATTCCATGAGCGGGCATTGAATATCAGATAATAAATATCCAATGAACTGCGTAGCGCAGAGTTCGCTTTAACCAAATTCATATCCAGTAAATGCAAATGCATACTTTTCTTTAAATTAATAACTCGATATTGGTCGGTTTCAGTCACGTGACAGTTATTTTTATGCGCTGCCATGTTTTTGCACCTTGTGGAACGTAAACAATTCGAATTAAGATGGTTTTATGCTTGATTTTTGGCTGCGGAACGAAAAGTGGAAGAGATGAAGGTGCTCAGCTTTCAAAATTTCCTGAAGTAATAACTAACGAAGGGGAAGAAGCAAGAAAATTGTCAGAATTGAGAAGAGAACGATGGATTTCGGCGATAAGTAGAGACGACTTGACAGAATCACATAAAAAAAGATGGTCGCGTCTGCGGGAAGCATTTTGTTTCGGGTAAAGCAGCGAACAGGTGGGATAAGTTCAATGTAGATTGGGTGCCATCGTTATGCTTAGGACATGGCAAAAAACTCTCTGAAAAAAACCTAGATGATTGTTACGGATTGTAGACTGACACCATTAATTGTTTGGCCTGATCGTGCTGACCTTTGGAGAACAATGCCCCAATATTTTCAACTTTCTTTTGGAAACAGAGCTACTGTAATCATAGATTGTTTTGAGGTGCTTACCAACAGACCATCAAACCTCTATAATCGAGCACAAACTTATTCTTCTTACAAAAGTCAAAGAACTGTTAAAATTCTTATTCGGATCACTCCTCAAGGAAGCATATCCTTTGTGTCTCAAGCTTGGGGAGGGAGAACCCCTGATAAACATCTCACAGATAACTGTGGGATACTAAATAAACTTATAACAGGAGATTTAGTCATGGCAGATCGTGGGTTCACTATCCATGAAAGTGTTTTAATGCAAAGAGCAGAGTTAGTGATCTCTGCTTTTACTAAAGGTAGGGATCAGCTAGATCCAATAGACGTCGAAAAAACAAGGGGTATAGCGAACGTGCGAATTCATGTTCAACGTGTAATTGGACTCCTTCAGCGAAAGTACACTATCCTCTCAAGCATTCTTCCAATAGAGTTCTTGGCATGTGATAAAAGAAATGAAGAGAATGCCAAGCCAATGATAGACAGAATTATTACCGTTAATTCTGCTCTAACAAATTTGAGCCCAGGCATTGTACCACTTGATTGATTACTGCATGTTATGCACCAGTCAATTGAAAACACCCTCAACCCCCCACCTACAATTAGGGAGTGCAGGTAAATCTAACAACTGTTGACTGAGGAGCTAATGTAGCATTAATACCATCAATCCCCAGGGGGAGTTAAAATTGTCAAAATTTTCCAGGGGGGAGTTCCAGTCGACTGACGCATTTTATTGACACAGCAAAGACACATAAGTTTTAATAACTATTTATTAAAATTTGGATACCAGAATTTATTTAAAATATCTATGTAACAACCAGTTTCTCACAATTTGTATTTGCCATTTATTCCACTGTTCTGATTGAATGATTACCCATGTAAATAGTGCCTAAATAAGAACTAGTGTGATTTCCTTATGACTGTGAAAAAATTACTAATAGTCAGTGTTTATTAGTGTCTAATAGTCATATTCAAACAAAAGAAAACAAATTTGTCTTATCAATGATTGAGAAGGTAGGGCAGGGTTTGTGTGACAAGCTGATTTACTTTGTGAGGCACCTATTCTGCCTGCTCGGGGTTTGAAGAAATTTATACCCTTTCCTTGTTTAATTGTGTCTCTCTCTCAACTTGATCAATGTTCTCTTTAGTATTGTCAAGCTTTATGGACATGCAGACTTTAAGTAATTCTGGATATGATAGCTCTAAGTATTTTTTGTCAAAAAGATCTGTAACAGTAGTGATGTGCCGACTTGACTTGACGTAGCTTTCAGTATAAGGTTGAACAAGACTTAGTACAACAGGCTTTATTTTGCATTCACTCAACTCACTAAAAAGAACGTCCATATCTCCCTGAGTAGGTACTGGAACTGATTTATCTTTGATTTTAGATTTCTTATTTTCTTCATAAAATTGTTCACAATCATCATTCATGAGATTCTCAATATTTTCATCAAGTTCAGACTTAAGTTTCTTAGCAGATTTGAAATTTATATCTCTCACCCTTGCATATTCAACATCTTGAACAAAAGGGGGAAGAATGCATTGGCATTTCATTTGTGTGAAAGTAAGTTTTTCGTGGATCTTTGTCCGAGAGTCAAGGTAATACAAAACACAAGCAATGTGAGAACACGATTCAGCAAGACCAGCTTTGCAACCCAAGCAATGGGCTCCAATAATGACTCCTCTTTCTTCGGAGATAATCCACACAGTTATCAATGTGTCATTCATTCGCTGTGAATGACGAACTTTCGCAAGGACGACAAATTTCTCCGAGGTCTTGTGACCTTGAACACTAGTGACAAAACCGTTAACCAGCTGGTTAAAAGCTTCCAGACTTCGGAAATTTTTAAATTGATCCTTCGTATAGTAACTTGTTTCGAGAACCAAATACGTCAATATGTCTGCAGATTCGACGAGAGGTAGACAATCGGGATCGAAGTTCTTCCCCTTTATCAATATTGGATCGATACCAATACACTCGATTTTCTCTAAATAACGCTGTTTTAATGCCTCATCAAGCTTCTTTGCGTAGTCAGACAACGGTGTAGACGGTTCTTGGTCCGGGAATTGACTTTTATCTGTTGTATTTTCGCCGGAATCCATGATAATCGTGAGCTAAACTACTAATATCATAGCTTTGGCATAGATTTACATGTCCTCAGAGGTGCACAAACATGGCGGGCTCAATAATGTGTGACGTCACACGAAATCGATCTATTGAGGTGGGTGCTCATAAAATTTGTTTTTATATTTAAAGTTCCGAGGTGATACGACTACCAAAACGGTAAAATAATCACGTGACAGTTGCATTGTCTTACGACCGCAGCTGAATGAAGATCCAGGCAGTTTATAATGTGAACATTTTCACAAAATGCAGTAGTTTTAAATCCGAAAAAACTTTCCAGGTTGCTATCGCCATTGCGTACTTCATTGTTTATAGTAATTTTTAAATTTTTCTAAAATAATTGCACCATGGGATATAAGCCTCGAATGCATTACTGGCTGTTTCAGGTTCTTATCACGTACTTTTTAACAATGCGCTCAAGTACTGTCACTCCACCGAAACACTACGTGATGACCAAGAAATTGGTTTTGACAATTGTGCTCAGGGTTTGGATCATTTCTACGCTTTGTGCTGTCATTTTTTTTGTTTGGCAGTGAGTCTATGATTCACGCATTCATAGCAATGTTCAGAGCGATAACTCATGGGAAGCGATCACCGTTGGTTCAGAATAACATGCCACGGAAGTGTATCTTGGTTTTCGCAGCCGTGGCGATCATATTTAAATGCTATTCCTCAGTTTCCAGATTTTATCATATTCTATTTCTTAGCATGAGAATCCAAATTTATTCCAATGTCATTCGATACATCACATCTTTCGCCAACCCTCTGCTCTACACGTTTTCCAAAAGCGACCTCTGGTCTTGCTTGCGAAGAACACAGAAAACCAATCTTTCTGCACAAAAAGTCAAACCCAGTCTCCTAAACTCACTGACCGATTACGGTCAAGATCAACTGTCAACAACAGAAGGTTGGCGTCACTCGAAAGCAAAAGGACACGGAGAATGAATCGCGATGAAAACGTGATTTTTGGTGAGGAGGCATTTCATACAAGCCATGTTTAACTGCTTGCTGGCATTGCTGCTTGCTGCTTGCTGGCAAGCTAGCTGAAGTTATAGTTTTTGTTAAGCTTTAGTGTTTATTTAATTGTTTTTTTTTTATTATTTATTTAGAGATTTACCATAGGTAGGTGTAGAAACAATAGGACTCTAAGTCCCCTACTAGGTTTTTATACCCTGGAAACCCAACCCCACCCATCCCACCCCAGGGGAGGACATCCAACACACAGTGATCTCGGGCGTGGGAAAATAACGTCTCCTACCTCTAACCCTCCAGGAGACGGGACCTACGGTTTATTCGTCCTTATCCGAGAAGACTAGAATGTCTATCCATTTCCTGATATTATCGAAAGGTAGCACATTCTCCTCAGTAATTTTAAGACCTTGAGTTTTGGTCTGGCTGGGGCTCGAACCTCGACCTCCCGCTCAACAGTCCGGCGCTCCATCCATTGCGCTAACCGGAAGGCGGTCATATCAATCTAATATAAAATTCGCTGCAACTTATATAAGAAATAGTAAAATAATATCAGAAACCCATGTGCTCCGAGCTAAAAAATAAGACATAAAACGTGGCGAAAGCATTCGAGTGTCGTGCATATGGCAAACATGTGTGAGAATATCGACTTGGTATTACATAACGAAAGCGACATTAGCAGCGCGGTTCTCATTAGAAAAACATGATTTTGAGAAGTTTCATGCTGGATCATATTGTGGCTCATTTCCTATGTTCTGAATCATTTTTCATAGTTGTAGATTAAGGAAATCAGAATTTATGCGAAAAATTTGAACCAGTGCAAATAATGCACATATGTGGTCAAAGTATTTTCATTGCATTGCTATAGCACATGTAATTTACCACAAAATACTAATGAAACTTATTAGAAAAAAGAAAAAATTATGGAAGCGAGTGAAGGCTGGTGGATCACCTGACTTATTTTTGAAATTCAAGGAAATGAGGAAAATTACGAAGAAGCATATCCATTTGAGCTATATTTATAAGTAAATTACCACAACCAAATGTTTAAAAATGCAACGTATGTATGACTGATTCTAAGTTTCCATATCATTCTATCTAATTACTGTTGATTTCTTTTTCTCTTTTATTTTAAATATTTTAATAAAGGTATGCTTGCTGTGGAAATTAGGAGGCTTAAAATTTCAAAAATATACTCTCCAAATTATAATGTTGTTTAGTTTCCCTGGCCTGCCAGTCCAACTACAGTCATCTCAGATAATAGTCTACTTAGTCATAAACACATTGAAAAGTACTGTTACATGCATATATATACTTCTTTTAAGTTTACCTCGATTGCCTGGATTTTCGGTGGGAAGCACTGTGAGAGAAAACCTGGGGCATTCATCAATGGAAAAGTCAAACTCGTGGTCACTTGAGTTAGAGTGAAAATCTTCCGAGTACGTTACATTAGGTGCATCTATTGATGAAAGAGAAATTGTGATTAAACACAGCAGCGACTTATATCAGCACACGAAAACATCACACAATACTTCGAGTATGACATAAGGTTTACATTGATGCATACCTTTAACTANGACGAATTCATTTATTCAACCACCTGTACATCATGACTACTACAAGTATAGTTTCTTTCCGAGAACTATAAGGGACTGGAACTGTTTATCACCTGGAACTAGATCACTTAATTATTCAGCTTTTTGCAGTACAAAATTTTTCTAAGTTTAAGCATAGCTATATTGTTAATTACATATTTTATTTATTTATTATTTTTATTAGCTATGTTTATATTTTTATATTTTTATTCTTTTATCTCTTCTTGATGTGTAATAGCGTTGAAGAGTAATAAAGTAGATGTAGATGTAGAGAACTACTGGTTTTGCCTTCCTTCGTTTTTGCGCGTTGTAAGTCCGAATTGAGACCAAGCGATCACAGCGATCGCACAATCGCTTCTTAGATTTCGAACTTTGTATATTAATATCATCTGCAGATGGCTTGGCGTCCATTTTACCTTCCTCTAAAGATGTAGGTCAGCAATATGTTCAAAAGCGAATCATTTCCATTCTTTTCTAAAGGCCCGGCTACATAGTTGTGGCGGCCGACTTTAACAAGGGCTTTTGGCGGGAAATTCACATTTCGTGCACGGCGGTACCATAAGTCAGAGTGTCAAGAGTGTGCTTTTAATGCTTCTGGTCTGATTTCGCAAACATGTCCCGAGAGTCTACCTCGATAAATCTCAGCACTTCAGGAAATTTTTACTCCATCGCCTCAACTCCGACAAGTTCAGACCGTCCGGGCTCGAGGTCAAGCCCAGCTAGCCATAGATTTTATCGATCTTCGTCAGTTCTGCTAATCGTTCTAGCTCCGCCTCCAGACCATTGTCCTCAAGAGAAAGTCGAGAAACGATGCAGCAGGTAATTGCTGGTCTTACAGCTTGCCAAAGAACCGTAGAG